CATAATTTCAACTTGCATTCAGTTGTTTTAATAGTAAATGTAGTGCCATAGATTAATATATATAGAGAAAATGTATAGCTGATTGGCTGAGAGTGAGCGTGGTCCTCTCTTTTTCACCTTTCTGAGTAAAAAAACACTATCAAAAAGGGCTGCATTTTTTTCAACATATATTTTTGATTAGTTAACAAATCATCCATCCATCCATCCATTTTCTTCCGCTTTATCCGTTGCCGGGTCGCGGGGGCAGCAGTCTAAGCAGAGACGCCCAGACTTCCCTATCCACACACACTTCCTCCAGCTCGTCCGGGGGGACCCCAAGGCGTTCCCAGGCCAGCTGAGAGACATAGTCTCTCCAGCGTGTCCTGGGTCTTCCCCGGGGCCTCCTCCCGGTGGGACGTGCCCGGAACACCTCCCCAGGAAGGCGTCCAGGAGGCATCCTGAACAGATGCCCGAGCCACCTCAACTGGTTCCTCTCGACGTGGAGAAGCAGCGGCTCTACTCCGAGCTCCTCCCGTGTGACCAAGCTCCTCACCCTATCTCTAAGGGAGCGCCCAGCCACTCTGCGGAGGAAGCTCATTTCGACTGCTTGTATCCGCGATCTCGTTCTTTCGGTCATTACCCAAAGCTCATGACCATAGGTGAGGGAGGGAACGAAGATTGACCGGTAAATCGAGAGCTTCGCCTTTCGGCTCAGCTTCCTCTTCACCACAACGGTCCGATACAGCGACCGCATAACTGCGCATGCTGCACCGATCCGCCTGTCAATCTCACGCTCCATTCTTCCCTCACTCGTGAACAAGACCCCGAGATACTTGAACTCCTCCACTTGAGGAAGGACCTCTCCACCCACCTGCAGAGGGCAAGGCACCTTTTTCCGGTCGAGCACCATGGCCTCGGATTTGGAGGTGCTGATTCTCATCCCAGCCGCTTCACACTCGGCTGCAAACCGTCCCAGTGCATGCTGCAGGTCCTGGTTCGTTGGAGCCAACAGGACAACATCGTCCGCAAACAGCAGAGATGAAATCCTGTGGTCTCCGAACCGGACCCCCTCCGACCCCTGGCTGCGCCTAGATATTCTGTCCATAAATACAGTGAACAGAACCGGTGACAAAGGGCAGCCTTGGCGGAGGCCAACATGCACCGGGAACAGGTCTGACTTACTGCCGGCAATGCGGACACAGCTCTGGCTCCGGTCATACAGGGATCGGATGGCCCTCAGCAGAGGACCTCTGACCCCGTACTCCCGGAGAACCCCCCAAAGGACAACCCGGGGAACACAGTCAAACGCCTTCTCCAAATCCACAAAGCACATGTGGACAGGTTGGGCGAACTCCCATGAACCCTCGAGTATCCGATGAAGAGTATAGAGCTGGTCCAGTGTTCCGCGACCGGGACGAAAACCACACTGCTCCTCCTGGATCCGAGATTCGACCATCGGCCGTAGCCTCCTCTCCAGTACCTTGGAGTAGACCTTACCGGGGAGGCTGAGGAGTGTGATCCCACGATAATTGGAACACACCCTCCGGTCCCCCTTCTTGTAGAGAGGGATCACCACCCCGGTCTGCCACTCCATTGGCACTGCCCCCGATCGCCACGCGATGTTGCAGAGACGTGTCAGCCAAGACAGTCCTACAACATCCAGAGACTTTAGATAATCAGGGCGGATCTCATCCACACCCGGAGCCTTGCCACCATGGAGGCTACCAACCACCTTGGTGACCTCAGCCAGGGAGATGGATGTACCCGCCCCAACGTCCTCAGCCTCTGCCTCTGTAACAGAGGACGTGACGGGGGGATTGAGGAGAACCTCAAAGTATTCCTTCCACCGCCCGACAATATCCCCAGTCGAAGTCAGCAGCTCTCCTGCTGGTGAGCTGCTGGTGAGCTGCTGCTGGTGAGCTGCTGGTGAGCTGCTTTGCCAACACCATGGTGTTGGCAAAGAACTGCTTCCCCCTCCTGAGGCGCCGGATGGTTTGCCAGAATCTCTTCGAGGCCGACCGATAGTCATGCTCCATGGACTCTCCGAACTCCTCCCAGTCCCGGGTTTTTGCCTCTGCAACAGCCCGGGCCGCGGCACGCTTGGCCTGCCGGTACCAGACAGCTGCCTCAGGAGTCCCCCGAACCATCATGGCTCGATAGGACTCCTTCTTCAGCCTGACAGCATCCCTTACTGCCGGTGTCCACCACCGGGTTCGGGGGTGGCCGCCGGGACCAGCACCAGAGACCTTGCGACCACAGCTACGAGCCGCCGCATCGGCGATTGAGGCAGAGAACATGGTCCACTCGGACTCCATGTCCCCTTCCTCCGCCGGGACCTGGGAGAAACTCTCCCGGAGGTGTGAGTTGAAAGTCCGTCTGACAGGGGGCTCAGCGAGACGTTCCCAGCAGACCCTCACTATACGCTTGGGTCTGCCAGGTCTGACCGGCTTCTTCCCCTGCCAGCGGATCCAACTCACGACCAGGTGATGATCGGTCGATGATCAGGTGACAGCTCCGCCCCTCTCTTTACCCGAGTGTCCGAGACACGCGGTCGCAGGTCAGATGATACGACAACAAAGTCGATCATCGACCTCCGGCCTAGGGTGTCCTGGTGCCACGTGCACTGGTGGACACCCTTGTGCTCGAACATGGTGTTCGTGATGGACAAACCGTGACTGGCACAGAAGTCCAACAACTGAGCACCGCTCGGGTTCAGATCAGGGGGGCCGTTCTTCCCGATCACCCCTCTCCAAGTGTCACTGGCGTTTCCCACATGGGCGTTGAAGTCCCCCAGGAGAATAACGGAGTCCCCAGGCGGTGCACCGTCCAGTACCCCTCCCAAGGACTCCAAGAAGGCCGGGTACTCTACACTGCTGTTAGGCCCGTAGGCCGTCACAACAATGAGAGACTTGTCCCCCACCCGGAGGCGGAGGGACGCGACCCTCTCATTCACCGGGGAGAACTCCAACACGTGGCGGCTGAGATGGGGGGCAATGAGAATGGCCACCCCAGCTCGCCGCCTCTCCCCGCGGGAAACTCCAGAAAAGTGGAGCGTCCAACCCCTCTCAAGGAGTTGGGTTCCAGAGCCCAAGCTGTGTGTGGAGGTGAGGCCGACTATCTCTAGTCGGTATCGCTCAACCTCCCCCACGAGCTCGGGCTCCTTCCCCCCCAGTGAGGTGACGTTCCACGTCCCAAGAGCCAGATGTTGTGTGTGCGGACTGGGTCGCCGAGGTCTCCGCCTTCGACTGCCGCCCAGTCCTCTCTGCACCGCTTCACCACGGACCCCTCTGCAGGTGGTGGGTGACTGCCCACGTCATCCCTTCGGGCTGAGCCCGGCCGGGCCCCGTGGGCTAAGGCCCGGCCACCAGGCGCTCGCATACGGGCCCCGACCCCAGGCCTGGCTCCAGGGTGGGGCCCCGGCTGCGCCATGCCGGGCGACGTCACTGTTTTCGTGTTAGTGCTGTCCATGGTGTCTTCTGGACTGCTCTTTGTCTGACTCGTCACCTGAGACCTGTCTGCCATGGGAGGCCCTACCAGGGGCATGAAGCCCCAGACAGCATAGCTCCCAGGATCATCCGAGTACTCAAACTCCCCCACCACGTTAAGGTGGCAGTCCAGGGGGGAGTGTTAACAAATCAGACATTGTTTAAACTTGTACTTACTTGTACTGGTTAGTACAGTGTTTTTCAACCAGTGGGCCTTGGGGTGTTGTTTGGTGTGCCTTGGGACATTTTCCGCTATCACATAAAATCAAAATAATGTGAAAAAAAATGATGTGAGACGATAAGAAAGATTTGTTGCACTCGTTTAATATTCTATACATCTACTTTGTTAGAATGACTTTGCTTTCATCCTAAAAGCTGCAACGTTTCATGTTTGTATCAGTTTTAGCTGTTGGTGTGCCATGTAAGCGATTTTCAACTACAAAAAGGTTGGAAAACACTGGGTTAGAAAATGTAGTGATACAGACTCATATACAGTATAGAGACAATATACAAATAATGAGGCATACTGATAAAAAAAAAAAAAAAAAAAACATGTTAATTTTAAAGAAAGTTTTTTAAGGTCTATATGGCCTGGTCAACAAAAATCTTTATCAAACTTCAACTACATTTACTCTAGTTCATTATCAGTTGAGGATGTCATTGTTAATAATTCAGAAATACATTTGCAAAGATACATTTATATATTTTAAAGTACTTTTGTAGTTCTTGTGAAGCACTTTGAGTTGCCTTGAGCATGATACGTGCTATACTAATAAACTTACCTTACCTAAAACCATTCTACTCATTTACCAACACAATTGTGTAGTGTTTGGGAAAAGAAAATGGTTCAAACTGCAAATCTTACTGTATTTTTTTCAACAAACTGTAATTAACTCAGAGTTACCTTTTAAGTCCTGTAATAACTTCTGAATTGTATTGTATTTACTTCTATACTGAATGGCTCTACTGTAGCCTGTGCATAGCTGACATCTTCTTCACGTGGTATTTACTGCATTAGTGGTGGAAATCCCTGACATTTATCTAACCTTAAATAGGATCATGTGTGTGTGTGTGTGAGTGTGTGTACGTGTATGTGTGTGTTGCTACTTCTGCTCCATCTTGTTCAGCTCTGTGGGCAGTTGTGTGTTGCCTAAATCCAGTCTGAAAAGCCTTTGACAGCAAGTGACACTGTAAAAAAATCACATCAGAGCAGGAGTCCAGCTGTAGGTGTTTTTGGGACACATAGACAATTGTGGTGTTTGGAGTCCCAGAGAGAGAGAGAGAGAAGGGTGAGGCAGAGGATGGTGAGGGCGACCCGAGGGCACGAGGAGGAGGAAGCTCAGGCCAGTGATGTCATCTGCTTCATGGTGACGTTAACCAACTCAGTTTGACAAGCACACAATCACTGCAGGGTTTTGTTTCTGCTCTTTAGTTTCATTCATTGAGTCTGTCGTGTATTTAAAAGCATTGTGCATTTTCTGGTTGTATCGTTTAACTTTATGCATAATCAACATGTTTTGTGTTTATTTTTTGCAGAAAAAAGCCTCAGGGAAAACGCTGTTGGACCTGGTGTGCTCCCATATGAACCTCATCGAAGGAGACTACTTTGGCTTGGAGTTTCAGAACCACCAAAAGATGATGGTAGGACCTTAAAGTGGTTCTCACCTCCGCTCCTCGGAGCTTACGTCACTCACATTTCCTGTTCAAATCTTCCTCTAAATGGGCGTAGCCTGGAGGACTAAAGGGGGCGTGAACGAGACTGGGCCGTTTATATAGCACTGGGCGGGGGGCTGCTTCAGGTCTTGCTTCAGACGTCAGGTCTTGCTGCCGCGCCAGTGTTGGCGCCAGATTCAAAATTCAAATGTAGTAATACAGGTCGCCAGCAGATGGCGTCTCACGGATGGTTTTAGGCAGAAAGTTTAACTTTCAACTAATTTGCACCAAAGTGACAAAATTATGACCAGGATATGTAGACAACACTATTGGACACTCATTTATATCGTTTATCAGCAAAAAAAAAGTGGATTTGAGGGTGAGTTGTCCTTTAAGAATTCACTTTACCGTGATTAAACTTTGAAGCTAAACACGATCAGTGATTTAGCAGCTGGAGTATCTAACTTTGAAAGCAGAAAAAAAATTACTAACTAAACTAACTAATACAATCCATCTATTTCTCCTAAATCTCAACACGGTTTGGTTCTATCGTATAATATATCAAATTATCTCATGTCTGTACAGTAATTTGGCCTCTATCACATCTTTAGATCAGCTGTTTCAGTTAAAACACAAGAAACATCCTCACTCAGCCATCACCTCTCAGTATGTAGTCACATGTTTTCTAATAAGATAAACACAGTTACTTGTTGGGCCCTACAAACACAATTAGTTAATGAAGCAAAACAGTCAGGTTCTCTAGCTGTAAATACGTTGTAATAAAATGTGCAAAATTGGTGAAAAACAGCCAGGAGATGAAACAGTAACTCCTTTTATGTATTTTTTCCTAGGTTTGGTTAGACCACATTAAGCCTGTTATAAAACAGCTCCGACGTAAGTACTCATAAATGTTATTGTAGTCTTGTCTCTTCTGTTTCTTTCTCCTTCTTCACCAATAATACTGTTGTTTATGCAGGGCCGAAGCACACCATCCTAAGATTTGCTGTGAAGTTCTTTCCCCCTGATCACACTCAGTTACTTGAAGAATTGACAAGGTAACTGTCATGGAGTGGACTTTTTAACAATTTTGATCTAGTTTTATTTTGCTATATGTATTTGTTTTCTTGTAGTTTGAGTTTGCTTCCTGTCTCATGTTAATTCTTTGCCCCACCCTAATGCAATTCACCTGTGTGTTTCAATCTGGAGAGACTAGAACAGACACAAAATGCATTCTAGAAAGGTTTTTTATTTTTTGCGCATTGATTTTGGCTAAGGGGAGATCATTGCAGCTGAAGATGATCACAGATCCCCCGGAGTCAAGCACTGGTGGTGGCTAGAGGGCGTAGTATGAATGGGGCACAGGGTGGAACAGGCTCTAGAGCAGGAACCAGAGCAGGAGTCAGAGCAGGAGCTTGAGCATTAGCCAGAGCAGGAGCCAGAGCAGGAGCTAAAGCTGGAGCCAGAGCAGGAGCCAAAGCAGGAGCCAGAGGAGGAGCTGGGGAGGCAGTGGGTAGCAATCTTCAAGAAGCGCTGGTTAGTAGGAAATGGCTGCTTTTAAACTGCCCGCTTCACTGTCATTGGTTGGTAAGGGGGCTGACGGAGCTGTGTGATTGGCTGAGGAGGGAGAGGCTGGCCCTGGACAGGATGAAACTGCAGCATGTAGTCCTCCATTCTCACTTTGCTCTTAAGCTTCCTTTATCCCCTGTGGTTTTGCCCACTTGGAGTCCATCCAGTGTCTGTTCCTGTTTTGTTTTCAGTTTTGGAATTTTGTGTTTTCCGTCCTGCAATATGGGTTCCTTTTTTCATTTAACACGTGACAGTAACCTCGGCTCATCCATGCGTGTTTCCATATTTAGCCGTGTATTAGGAGGTGGGCGTGTCCTCTTGTGACAAGGGGGGACTTGCTTTTTACAGTTTCTTTGATGTAAACGATTGTAGATGCGGCAAAACGATTCTGAAGACCCGTAATTGAAATTTCTCGTTCCGGGCAAAATTCAGCGCTTCACATGTCACGGGCGCTATATTTACTGTTTACGTCTCTCCAGAGATTTCAGAGAATATATTACTCCCCTTTTGCACAAGGATGAAGCTTGTTTAATTGGTTCCGTTTTATTATGTCTGGAATAATATGAGACTGGGAAATGTGAGGCATCGTTACATGGATCAGGCTGTCAGACGGCGGTGTTTTAATCAAGTCTGGAATTATGTAGAAGAAGATATACTTTGTTGATCTTACAATGGAGAAATTCGGTTCGATGAATACAATATACGTTTATCAGGTGAAACAAAGCAAATTTGACAACATGTATCCTAAATTGAACACATTCTGACAGATTTGCCAATGAGACAAAAGAAAAGATAAAAAGAAAGGTCTCCCTTGGAATGATGAAATAAAGCAACAGTTCTTGAAAAAGGACAAATCTTGTTTTTAGACAGAATTTAGTCAGAATGAACTCAAATTAGTATAAAAAAAACACTTGATTCAAGCAATTATTATCTAATATTTCATCATTTTTTGGGAGCTTTTAGACCCTTGATGTTATAAATCACTTTTGAACTCTACTTCTACTGTACTTTCCCGAGTTTCACCTGTATTCAGATGCATTCTAAGATGAAATTGTTTTGAATTTCCATTGTCCCTGCATTTTGAAAAGACACACTAACCTTTGCTTATTTATATGTTCCAGATATTTATTCGCTCTTCAGATCAAGCAGGATCTTTCTTGTGGTCGCCTCACCTGCAACGACACCAGCGCCGCACTCTTGGTTTCCCATATTATCCAATGTGAGTCCACGTGACATTTTCTTCTTACTCATTGTGAGACAGCCCTCAGTGTCAGGCCTCCAAACGATTATCTTTACGTTGCCATGGATACCTTTCAATCAGACGCCCAGCAGAACGAGCGCATGTGATGACGCATTGTCAAAGAAGACTGGATATTTTTGTGATGTTTGTTTAAGTGCTTTATAGAGCTTAAAAGGTGTAGGCAGAAGTGAGACATACTTATAAACGCCTAAATCAATTATGGCATCATTGAATTAAATGCATGTTCCAAGTAAATTCAATTCAATTACAATACATGTATTTTTGTATAGCCCTAAATCACAACAGCAGTTATCTCGGAGGACATTACAAAGTTGTCGATTCGTCACCAAAGATCAGATTAAAACGGTTCAAACACAGGAAATGCAACGATAAAAACAACATAGAGCCTTTGGTCCATAAGGGGACGATGACCAATGTCTATAAATGTTAATAAATGTCCACGTACTGTATGTCCTGGATCATCACCACTGTCCTTAGACCCTACATGAGTACATTTCAGTCAGAGAAGTGCATACATATTTCAGAAGTACCCGAGTCAAGAGTAATACTTACATACTTAATCAAAATCGTACATAATAACAGTTTATAGCTATTTTAAAACTGGGGAATGTAGGAAATGAGTCGTTTTTCTTCTTACTCATCGTGAGACAGCCCTCAGCGTCGGGCCTCCAATCGATTATCTTTACGTTGCCATGGATACCTTTCAATCAGACGCCCAGCAGAAAGAGCGCATGTGATGACGCCTTGTCAAAAAAGACTGGATATTTTTGTAACCTGACATTTCAGAGCTGGGGGGGGATGAGGACTGGTGCCACTGCAAACACAACACATCCTTCAATATGTAGAAAGACTGTCACGTTCACATCCGTTATTCATACACTAAAACCTTATTCATACACTGAATCGTTATTCATACACTGAATCGTTATTCATACATTGATGTTCGTTCATTCAATGCCAGCCATCTCTTTTTTTTGCTTTATCCATTGCCGGGTGCTGTTGGGGCCACTTTATCTACTTATCCTGCCCTATATGTACATAATGTGGCACTATGTATATACAGTGTTTAGATAGATAGAAATATATCGATACATATGCACCACTCTCTCTTCAGCTCATCCGGGGAATCCTTGTCCCTCCATCATGTCCTGGGTCTTCCCTTTGGTCTCTTTCTGGTGGGACATGCCCACAAACCCAGGGAGGTGTCCAGGAGGCATTCAAATCAGATGCCACCTCTACTCAGAGCTCTTCCCATGTGACCAAGCTCCTCTCCCAATCTCTAATTCAATTAAATGTATTCCTGTATAGCCCTCACAACAGCAGTTATCTCGGAGGACTTTATAAAACCGTTGAATTCTCCAACACAGATCAGAGAATCAAACAGAAAAACACATTGGTATTGGATCATAAGGGGCAGATGACCAATGTCCATAAGTGCATGGGAGTGCCCAGCCAATGAAGTGCACATTGACATTTACATAGTGGAATAATCACAATCTTGTCCATTTGGTCATAACACAAATGTTTCAGTTTTATTCTTAAGAGAGACTGGATTTTCTCGTCTGCAAAAGAAGAAGTATTTTAGTAATTCAAGCTGTGACATCGCTCTCCCAAACCCTTTTGCACATTTCTTGCACATTTCTTGCACGTTCTGACTACAGACTAATTTGTTTTCCCAGACAGAGAAGGTACTCTATGTCATCCCCACATAATCCTAGCCAATACTACTTATTAAGAGAAAACGAATATTTTCCGTACGCAGCGCTCGTCTCACACTTGAATTCATTTATACAATTGTGTTTCCCTGTTTTTACTTGGCACTGAATAATAAATTTTATCCGGAGTCCAAAAGCAGTAGCAATATCAATTATTTTGTTTTTGAGCCTTGAGTTTTTTATATAAAAGATATTCTCTCTTTTTCTATACTATGAGTTCAGTTAAAGCTAGGTTACCTCACTTCTAAACCACAAAAAAGTTGAAATCAAATCTATCTAGTCCCTCAACCTCAAAACAGTTTTTCTAATAAGATTTAGAACGCATTTTGGGGTTTGATTCCTTCACAGCATAGACCTGTACCCCAGCTTTAGCATACAACTAACTGTGTGTAATAAAATTCAATAACTTTTCTCTTTTGTCCTCAGCTGAGATTGGGGACTTCGAGGAGAGCCAGTGCCGGTCACACCTCCTCAACAACTCGTACATCCCAGATCAGATGCCTCTCATCGACAAGATCATGGAATTTCACTCAAAGCATATGTGAGTGGATGGTGTGCGGCATCTGTAGTCTTCTGGATCAAACAGAGCCGCCGATTTAAAGCTTACATCACTAGGCCAGTGAAACCATGACGCGGCACAAATTCTTCTCATCATGCGTGAACAAGAGCAAGGTTTTTTTTTTTTTAAGCTTGTACTGCAGGAGTCTAACTGCCCTGGCATATGCTGGAAAAGTACTGAAGGACTTGGCTCAGTCTCTCTCATAGATTGTAATGATAATGAAGAATTTACAGCTAAGAAGCATAGTAGAAACTTATATTATTTTGTGTGCTTCAGTACTGTACGTGCGCTGCAACACCAACATTTCCCAACTGTGGGACGGTTCTCTTATCTTATCTAGATGGACAATATTCATCCCCTAGCCAGTTTTATGAAGTCCAAAAGGGAAGTGCTTAAGGACGAGGTTTTGCACCAACTCACTCTGGCTAAATTCCTTGAGATCTGTAACCGTTTCTGTCACCTTCACCATTTTGGCCTTGAGAAATCTTTGGTTCAGCACTCTATAATTCTTAATACGGTGATATTGCCTTTGTAAATCCACAGTGAGCCATATAGGAAATGACCGATAAGATGCCTTCATTCTCGGGGAAAACTCAACCTTGCCTTTTCCTTTGCAACCATCTATGCCCCTGCCCCTTTTACAGGATGAGGCTAATGGCGTCATAAGGAAATTGGCTCCAGCTACCTTTTGTTAAGCCTGGCCTTAGCCATCCGTAAACTTTGGTCTATTATTTTTTCCCTATGCACGTCTGGGTCGCCGTTAGTCCACTACTAATAAACAGTCTATAGTTTTGTTAGTGGCAATAACAGAAGTAGTAAAGGTACAGTTTAGCATCAGAAGTAATAGCACCAGTTCATCTCTATATTGACATTTTTCCCTTCTTTCTGTTTGCATTTGACCCATTTTTCCATGTCCCTGTGGAAACCTGTCCACTCTGACTCTGAGAATTTCACTTGCTTGTGGATTTTTCCCGATTGTGCATGTTTTTGATTGTTGGGAAAACCCTTGAGTGTCTGAAAGAACTTCAACCAGACACTGGGAGAAGCCTGCAACAGCACAGTCACTTTCACAGCCGCTTTAACCCAGAATCTTCTCGCTGTGAGACGAGAGCATTAGTCACTCAGCCACCACGCTGTTTTAACTTGCCTAACATGACACAAAAGCCTTCATCTTTCATCTCTAATGTTAGTTTACAGTTGTGCTTGAAAGTTTACACACCCAGGGAAATATTGTGGTTTGTTTGGCCTCATTCTTTTTCACCTGTCATTTGCGGTTGAGCCATTTATTGTCACGTAAACATGTTTTAAAATTTCAAATTGTAATGGCAACAGACACTTATTAAATGACCCTGATTAGAAGTCTCCATCCTCCAGTTCTCAATAGCGTGTATTTCCCTTTAAAGTGATTGTCTGGAGTTTGTCAGAAAGAGAGAGAGAGAGGTACGGAGGTGCACGGAGGTTTTCAGAATTATTAACGTTTTAATGAAAAAATAATGTTTTTATGCACAAAAAAAGCGATCGCAAACCCGGAATAAGCTATTATCATGAACTGCACATTATAGGACACATCTGCAGAGGATCTGATTATGGATATAGGTTCAGTATATAAATGATTATGGATATAGGTTCAGTATATAAATGATTATGGATATAGGTTCAGTATATAAATGATTATGGATAAAGGTTCAGTATATAAATGATTATGATATAGGTTCAGTATATAAATGATTATGGATATAGGTTCAGTATATAAATAGGTAACTCAGCGCAGATGTTCAGAATTCTTTGTTCAGTTTTTATGTAGTTCCAGAGCCTAATGGAGGCTTGATTCGGAGGCTCCGTGAAAACAAACAACTGAGCATGCGCAGCTGCGAGCATCAGCGCCGATGATTGACAGCCCTTGGCATCACTTGATTGGTTAAAGTGGACGGCATCGTGGATTTTGAGCTATAGCTAAGAGAAGGGAAGGCAGGACTTACCAGTAATATTAGAATGAATAAAATGACTTATTTTAAATCAAAATTTAAGGCCAGGAGGTCAAATTAACACATTTCCTAAAATGTGTAATTCATTTAGAGTTACAGACTATCACTATGACAGCCCGGAGTCTGTTGTGTTAGTTGTGAACGAGGTTTTCTCTGATGGTAAAGTTGCTCATTCTTCTTGACAAAAAGCCTCCAGCTCCTGTCAATGCCTGGGCTGCCCTGTATGAACCTAATCAATCAATCAATCAATTATACATTTACAAGGCACTTTTCATACAAGAAATGCAACAGAAAGTGCTTTACTGTTTGAACTGCGCATTTATAATATATGGCAATATGTGGCTTCACACGACCAATGAGTGGTGGGGAAAAATATGGCCAAAACAATCAATCAATCAACTTGTATTTGTAGAGCGCCTTTTCTACACAAGGCAACACAAAGCGCCTCACAACCCATATCACATCAAGCATAAATCATAAACATTATAATCAACATAAACATTATAAAAATACAATTACAATCCTACATTAAAAACAAATATTGAGATCACAAGAAATATTCAAACTCAAGAAATGCAATGATAAAAAACACATAGAGCCATTGGTCCATACTATATGTTGTTGAATGTTGCAATAACAAGAAACATCAAAACATTAAAATCCGACAATAACATCTCTGGCGGCGTGAGTAAACTGTGAGGATGTCCGCAGTAAATGGCCAAGTTTCTCTGTGTTTGCCGCTCTGTATATCTCTGCAGCCGGGGGTCGCTCACAGCTGTGTCAGATCCCTGTGCCTTTTATTGCCCGGTGCCTGTTGGTGCATTCCTGCGCTCTGGAGCTCTTCTTTTATCTCCCGTTTTCATTAAACGACTGTTGCTTTCAGTGAACAGTGTTATTGGAAGCCGTCCACATCTCCTCCTCGCAGTTTACCACTAAAACTTACGCATGGCTTCACAGGGTTTGACCAGCAGCGAAACTACAGCCTATTAACCTCCTCTGCCGCTGTGGAAAAGCAGGGGCATAATTATGAAGTTTCCCCTCTGTCTGAACTTGAACGATAAGCAGTGGTTTGTTAGGGCTGAAGGCCATAGTGAGTTTGATAATGGTTTTTGTTTGTTTTGTTTGTATTTAGATCCCCATTAGAGGCAGTACTTCCTGGGTCTATATATGGGTCTTCAAACATATCACAAATGACAAGGAAATAACTAAAGCTGGATGTACAAACACAATATATGCCAGAATAAATTCACATAAACAGACAACACACATAAATATACTTACACATACTTACTGCACATATAGCCCCCACACATACAACATCCAAATGAATAAGATGTACAGGATTATTCTGTTGAAATCTTTTGGTAATTGTTGATCATTCCATAATCGAGGATGTGAATATTGAATTTGTTTTGTGTACTTTTGTGTCCTTGTTCTGTGTTATTTTTGTATTGAGTTTGGGGCTTCTTGCTTCAGCCCACTCCTTTTGAGCAGAATGAATACTCTTCAAGTACACAAGAATTACAGTAAACAGTAATGTAAATTTCTATACAGTAACACCGTTTTATATATGTATTTAGGAACACCTACAGGAAGTCACTGGTTCATGTGAGCAAAAACTTCCCATCCCATCAGGAGGCACAAAGTTATTATTTATTTTCATAGAATGCTTACTTCTGCCATTTTGAATCCACTGAATACATTGTGTCTTGAGATTCATTTTGTCTGATTTGTCTTGTTCCAGAGGTCAGACACCAGCAGAAGCAGACTATCATTTACTGGAGGTGGCCCGGAGGTTGGAGATGTACGGGATTCGGCTGCACCCCGCCAAAGACCGGGAGGGGTCGAGTTTGAGCTTAGCAGTGGCACACACGGGCGTCCTGGTCTTTCAGGTTAGTTCTGCTCATGGCAACAGCTGCATAAAGGCCACGGCGAAAAAGTCTCTACATGTTGGATTTCATGTTTTATATTTAATGTGCTTGAGGCTTCGTTGAGTTGAGTTTTGCGGTTAACAGACCTGAACGAGTTTAACATTAACGTTTAACAATGGCGCAAAAGGAATCAAACTTCAATTTCTTTATTTAGAGAAACAGGGACAGTGTACAATAACACTTCAGAGCACTTCACTTGTGCTCACTTCAGAGCACAATAAGACTATAATAATCTATTTTTAATATTTTCTACTGTGTATTCTGTGTTTTTTATATGTTCTGTATGTGATGTAATTTTTTGTCTTAGGGACCAGGTCTGTTAGTTATAGTACATACAGTATAGTATAGTATATGGCCTATGAACATTGGTTATTTGTAACAATGCTTCTTTTTCTTTCCCGATCAAATAAACATATAATAAATACATAAATCCATCCTTAACAAAAATAAGTTGTTTTTCTTTTGCTTTTGATGTTGACGTTTTGTTCTTTGCTGGGTAATTCCAGGGACATACCAAGATCAACGCCTTCAACTGGTCGAAAGTGCGGAAACTGAGCTTCAAGCGGAAACGGTTTCTTATCAAGTTGCGACCGGACCTGAATGTACGTGACAAGGTAATACACAGGGATTAAAGCTGGGGGACCTAGCTTTCAAACTGCAAATCTATGGACCTATTTCAGAAAATCCATCTAACAAGTTCCTCGATCTCAAAACGGTTTGGTTCCATCACTAGTTCCCACACGCATGTAGTTTTTGTCACATATTTAGATCAGACGGGAAAGTAATAAAGGGACGACCATTTTCAGATCTTGGCCCAAAACGTCAATTAGTGACTCACAAAAAAGATATTAATTTAAGTACTGAACCTTTAATTGTTGAATTATTGCTGTGTTTAAAAAAAAAATCTATATATTTATTTTAATGTATTATTTATTTGTTCTTTTTATTACTTTCTATATTCATTAATTCTAATGTTTTTATTCAATTAATTTATTCAATATAGCTTTTTTAATGTATTTATTGTCTTTCTTTATTTTTCGGTCCTCAGAGCTCATACCAGGAAACACTAGAGTTCTTAATGGCCAGCCGCGACTGCTGTAAAGTTTTTTGGAAGATCAGTGTCGAGTACCACGCCTTTTTCCGCCTTTTCGAGGAGCCCAAACCCAAGCGTAAGCCTGTGCTCATGTCGCGGGGGTCGTCGTTTCGATTCAGGTACCATCAGTTTTATAACACACCTCACAACAAGACATTTATGGACTATGACGACATTTCATCCTTTCTTATTCTCTATGTGTTTTTGTTAATTATTGCATTTCTTGAGTTTGAACTGTTTAATTCTCTGATGTTGGGACAAGCTTCTTATTGTCCCAACATCAGTGGCCATTTTAGATAAAAAAATAACTGATAATGAATACATCCTAAAATTGTATGAACTATATCAGCTTTTATGCAGGAGCTATTATTTAGATGCGTAATCGAACCGAACAGAGACTTCAAAGCACTACAGCCATTTTTACAATTTTTCTTTTTCTTTTGTATCTGTAATGTCCCTTTATATTTTTATTCATTCATGCAGATCTGTGTAGCAATGTATCCCACAGAAAATTTCCCTTGGGGACAATAAAGTTAATCTTATGATATCGTGTTGGCAAATTCGACCTGCTGTTGTGATTTAAGGCTATACAAAAATTATTGAATTGAAAAATGTAGTTGAACAAGAGGCTATTCCCATCAGCTGACAGACATGAACGCCTCACCATTATTTCACCTTTTCTCTGCAGTGGGCGAACACAGAAGCAGGTGATTGACTACGTGAGGGAGTCGGAGTTTAAGAAGATCCCGTTTGAAAGGTAAAAACAGCAGCCTGGGCACGTTTGCTTAATCTCCGGGTGATTTTGACCGTGTGAGACATTAACCTTCGATGTGTTGCGTGACAGGAAGCACAGCCGGGTCCAGTACAACTCACGAGCGCCTCATCACGTCAGATTGTCACCTTTGCCTTCACCCAGACACCATGAAGTGCCAGACGTACGTGTCATACTCTGCTGCAATCATTTATCACTGTGCTGGATGTGACATTAGGGGACATTTAACATTTAGCTATTTTGTAGTGTAAAATCTGCCTAATTATTTGCAAATTAATATGTGAAATAGGTTATTTTTTGCTGTTAATTTGAGAGTACATTTTGACTGTCTTGAACAAAATTTGCCAATGAAACAAGATTAATTAGTTGTGAATTTTGACTAAAAATAACCAGACGCCCTTTCCTTACACTCTGAGAGACACAGGCTGGTGTGTCAAAACAACGCATTTAACCCGCCTTGCAACCTAGTCTTTTTTGCTGAGGTGTGTTTAGTAGTAACACCGCAAACAAATAGTTGTAATTTAGACAGAAATATACTATTTTATTGCTCGTTGCTTACATGTGGGTCAGAAGGAGAAGGTTATTAAACTACACAGAATACACATGAGGGAAAACAATTTGCCTTTTGACAGCGTAACAAGCTGTACAAGAGCAAAGTCCAAATTTGGGCTTTTGCACACGCTGCTTTTTTCTTTATAAAGTTGTCCTTGTAAAAAATATGTTTAAAATTGCTAATATAACGGATGAAAAAGCTTGTTTTATTGTGATAAGATTCCCTGGGGTCCTGGGTGCTCTCTGCTTGGGCTTTAGCAGACTTATTTTAAAAGTCAGAAGTGTTGACCCTTTAATTTTGACACGTTCTTTTCTTCCCCATGGAGAAAATTCAACACAACCGTATGCACTGTTTTCTTGGGTCGACGTGCTACTTCTCTATATGTTAAAAAACGCAGCTGCAAACCTATAAACTGCTCTTGGATTGAGGGGGATGTACTGTACCTAAAATAAAACTGCCTGTTCCTCTGGCAATTCTCGTTTATAGACAGTCAAGGAGTTTGGAGATATACTTGTGCCTCACAGCAAGAAGGTCCTTGGTTGATTCCACCTCCAGACCTTTTTGTGTGGAGTTTGCATGTTCTTGTAGGTTTCCTCCAGGTGGTCCGGTTTGCCCTACCACTAAAAACATGTACAATAGGTCTGGCATGCGCCTCCTATATGGCGACCCCGCTCTCATGTGTGGAGTGAGAGACAAATGCCCACAATTGTAATTGTAAAGCGTTTTGTGACTCTGGTCTGTGAAAGGCGCTATAAAAATACAGACTCACTTACTTACTTATTTATTGTGAAGTTTACAGTATAGACAGAAACCCATTTTGTTTGTGCTTAATCAGCTGTGTCTTCATCAGCTCGGCGTCCCTGGAGAGAGACTGGAATCCCCTCATCGTCACTGGAAAGACTCGGTGGTGGTGAGCGCGGAGGACCCTGCTCTCTCCCGGATCACACGAGCCAGTCCATACCACCACCGGAACGGCCACGAGGAGCGGCCCACCACCAGACCATCTGCGGAGACCCACCGGAGTCCAGCCAGGCCCACCAACATGGACGGCCCCAACATAGGTCTGGCATCTCGCCCCAGCAAAACCAGGGCCACTTACATCCCATTTAGTGACTGCATCGATTTTGATTATAACATATCGTCTCGCGCCAATCAATGCTTCATTAATCAGAGCCTTTACGACAATCAGCAGAACCTTCGAGGTAGAACGGGGCCTCGAGAATCCACTGTGAATGCGAATAATACATTTTACCAAAGAAGTGAAGAAGTTAGAAATACAACAATGATGGGTGACAGAAGAGATTGCAGCAGTCCCGTCACCTTGCCGATGGCGAAGGCGGCACACCAAACTAGACCAGCGCACGACTATAGCATCCAAAATGGCTACGGCCCATCCTCATCGACTAACTGCACTGACGCTAGATTCGCAACTGCCCCCAATCGACAATCCAGAGCCCAAAAAGCACGCAACCACACGAACCAGGAGCAGAGTCCAAGCGTGTCTCGGGCTGAGCGAATGGCTGCCTTAGAGCGCCGCATGGTCGCCAACGGTCTCACGGCTCCTGGGAAAGGCAAACCGAGACATAGGCGCTTAAAGCAAGGCCGCGGCAACCACATGGGCATAGTTCAAATGAATGAAAGTTCTTTTACAAGCGCTTCAGAGTCCAGCGAGTCCGAAAATTCAGGCAGTCCAGTTCCGACCCTTAGGAATCCCATTAATGTCCCGTCTCCTTCCAATATTCCTAGAAATAAGTTTTCTTTCGGGAGCCTCCAGTTGGACGAGGAGGCAGATGGGGACGCGTGCCAAACTTTTAGCGATGATGACATATTTTAGCTTCTAGCCCCTGACACTGCAACATCTGCATTTAAAGCTTTTGCGTGTAAGCCTAATGGAGCAAGAGACAGACTGGTTTTGTCAGGCTACTTGTTCATATTCTTAAGCGTAGAGAGAAGAAAGAAGGAAATCACTGCAGAAGATAGGGATAAGTGATTCTTTTTGTAGGATATGCATTCGCTTGAGAAAACATAACATTGTATTTTGTAGGGTTTTTTTCATAGCTTGGAATTTTAGGCAATTTCATACGCAGAATATTGTCTTTTGTCAGTATATTTAGAATTAAGTGCCATTACTGTTAGTAATATAGACTGGAATATCTTCACACAGTCACAATTTCTATTTCTATGCAACATCGTGCCTTGAATCATATTTATACAACTTATATAAAATGTATTTATTGTCAATGTGGTTAGATCAATTTGGTGTGAATGATGAGGTTAGGGTTGCCAGGCAGTTTGTGTATGAGCAAAAGGGAAAGTCAGATGATCATGGAATACTCTATGCAAAGGTCGTGACATCGTGAGTGGAATTCAAAGTTATTGGGTGTAGATTCGTGGTCGGCAGCAGCTCTGTTTGGAAGGCTCTCTTCAAACACCATCTTAGCATTTCCCGTCTGCTCTCATCTTTCTGCTCTTGACACCTGCTTGTTCCTGTCTGTGGTTTGCTCACACCTCTTGAAACAAAAAAAAACTTAACTGCAAACTTCAAACTAATGCACTTTAATGTTTCTTTCTGCACTGCATTTTCTAATGCAGTGGTTCTCAACTGTAAGACCAAGTCAAAGTTTGATTTCCGCCTCTGAAATCAAGAGAATATGTTTTAAAAAGTAAATGTGTCTTTGAAATAAATTACTAATTCCAAGTATTCTTGATTTAATTACTCTTTATGTACTATTTACTTTCTTTAATAAAAAAGGTTTCAAACTAAAATCCAAAGACATTTCTTGATAACTTTTTTTTTAGAATAGTCGATATGTATTTAAAGGGGATAATACAACTTCAGTTGTATATAGTTTTAATAGGAATACATATTTTTGACCATAGAACCCTGCAGTAGAATATTAACGAAGTCTTTTTCAAAATACTACATTAAAAGCAGTTCTTCCCCTTGGCCAAACCCCCATCAGTAATATTTACTGTAAGAAACTAGTTAATCCAGTGGCAAGGGGCCTCAGCCGTCTATCAATGATTTGAATTAATTACGTCCAATCATGAACCTGTGGGGGCGGGTCTAACTGGCACTTGCAATCAAAAAGATTATCTCAATCTTTAAACTTTGAAAAGTAACTGAGCTTAACTTTAAAGAGCTTTCAGAGAAAACATTTTAAGACCCCCTTTTTGGTCTTGCCCCACCAGTTGAGAACCACTAAGGCACTTGTGTTTTCATCTATGTTCTGTTTTCTCAATGACATGTGATTGGTTTTGCATCATACGTTTTGTTTGTTTTGTTCTTCCAGCATGTATCTGTCACTACACTCACCTCGCTCCCTGCTCATACATGAAATCCTTTTCTGTTTCTTAACAATCTGTCTGAACACATGTCAAAGCTTAAAAGCATTTGAATATTATTTGTCTGCATGTTTTTGTCTTGCTGCTTTTTGCATGTATCTCTATTTAAGACTTGATCAATGTTCTCACGTCACTGTGATTCTTTACTAACTTTGCATGTGTTCTCTATTCACTGACTGAAATCTGCATCCTGTATTTGAACTGTACCAAAAACAACATCTGAAAAAAATGATAAAATACAAGGTAATAATTTCTTGGATCGAGCGGATTTTATCTTAACTTGAGTACATTCTGAGTGTTTTGAAAGAAGATTGGCCAATGGGACAAGAACTGTTGCTGTGTTTTCTCATTCAAAGGGAGACATTTCTTGTATCTTTTTAAAACAAGATAATTCTGCTCTGTCCCATTGGCAAATCTTCTCACAGCGCAGTCAGAATGGGCCCAAATTATGATACAATTTTGCCAAATTTGAGCAATTTCTTACCTTTTATTCATCCCTTTTTCTGTGTATGTTTTGTTTTTTTCTTCATTTGTTTCCCACTGTTATTTCATTATTCACAGAGCTTGGACTTGACTGTGCTGCTGCTATGAGTATCATTAGTACCGTGTTATTCTAAAGTCAATAAAGGAGAGGTTTGTTTTTGTGATCCATGGTGTGAATGTGTTTACTGGCCTGTATCAGCACAAGCCATGACTCCCTGGAGGGCTGCGGACGATTGTGGCTTTGACCTTGTGTGTAGCGTTGTGTGTGAGCATCCGTTCCTCTGTCTGAGCTTGTTGAGTTCAGGACTGTGTCTGGTCTGGACTGGGGTGAGTCACTTCAGGAAGATCCCACGTGTTACTCATGTCTCCGGGGGCTGGTCTCGTCTGGGTCGTGCTCTTTACACACCAGGAGTAAAAAAAAACAACATGTTTTAGAATAACTTGTATGCAGACTTTATAGACTGGACTTTCTTCATAAATACATGCTGTTTTTCCCCAACAAAAAGAGGAAGTCTGAAACAAAATGTGAAAATACTGGACAACAAAGCTTTAGTTATCTTATGGGAAAATACAGTATGTTCTTTTATACAGAATGGAAGCTGATTGGCTGAGTTAGGGTGGTCCTGTCTTTTTCACTTTTTCAGCTTTTTCTGTCTGAAAAAGCTGATCTAAAGATGCGACAGAAGCCAAAAATAGATGCAAGTGAAAACCAGTGATAGAACCAAACTGTTTTGAGAGCGAGACCTCGGAGGGTTGCATTTGATTACGTCGTTAAACCAGATTTTATAGCCCTAATATAATTTTAAATAGATATATTAAGTACATAAGTCAGGTTTCATGATTCTCAGTCTCCTCTCAGTACTTATCCTCTATTAGTAATTTATAGATTTACATGAGTAGAAATAGTGACAGTAGTAATTGTTGTTATGGCCTGTGCAAGGGTAGTAATGACACCCAGTTACATTGTAAGTAAATGTAATTACTTTTATTTTCATCATTAATTTATTTAACAGTTTGGATAAGGCCCAACACAGTATTACACCATTTACACGTTACACATATTATCATGATGTAATTAGTGTAGTGTCAATCAAATTTATATTATAATCAATTTCTCACTGTAAATCATGCAGGAGTAATGCCTTGGACCACCAATTATTTTTGAAAGAACAAAAGCTGATGTGACAGAGCTCAAAATACATGTATTTGAAAACAAGTCACACTGGAAACTTCATTTTTCTCCATATAACACTATAGTTTCATTTAAACTCAATATTTTTCATAAATAACATATTCTAATCTAAAGCTGTTCCTCCCCTTGTAGTATTTGCTGAAGGAGACTACTGTAGATAAACTTCCTTCAATGAAAACATTTTTACCACCACATTAATTTTAAGTAGATATATTAAGTACGTTTCATGAATATACAGTATTACTGAAAGGACAATAGTTGATACAAGTCAAAAATACAGTACATGCATTTGAAAACTAGCGAAAAAACTTTTATTAGAGAAAATACCGAGTTGGTTGGACTTGATTACATAGTGCATTTTGCAAATTACGTACCCCAGCTTTACTCTTTATGCAGCAGATACCTCCTGAACAAACCCCAAACCCTCGCCACACTTGTCGTACAAACCCTATAGAAGTAAAAGTGCGTTTGTAGCTCTCCTTGTCCAGAGGTTGACCCTGCCCGTGCTGTGACCCTTCCCCAGGTGTAGTGACCCCGCAGAAGCCCGTGTCCCCGTCCCACTCCCTGGGGCTGGTGAACGGGCAGAAGTCGTTGGACATGTGTAGCCTGAGCCCCGAAGGCCGCCAGCCCTCCCCCCTCACCAGCCCCCTGCTCCACGACGCCTGCAGCATCCGCACAGACGACGAGGACGATCTGCGGAGGAAGGTTTGTCCGGGACCACGGTGGGAAACGGGGTCGACTTTTCTCCACAGGGAGGACAAGGATGAGTCAAAACTAATTTAAACTAAGTCTTGTAGGACCCCAGGGTATCACATCATAATGTTCTAAGCAAGTGAACTGAGAAAACATGACATAAAACTGTATTTTTACCAGTTTTATCTGACTTTTTGGGTAAATGCATTTATTAATTTTATTTTGACAACACATGAACTATCATGGTAATTAATAATTAATAATCAAATCAATCACATTTCATTCACAGAGCTCTTTACAACACTCAGGGCGACCAAAGTGCTTTATAATAGAATCACATAAAATCTATTAAAACATTCATGCAATCAAAAAAATGTAGAGTTGAAAATCAATTCTGAATGAATAAGTTTCGAGCCTCAAATGCCAAAATCAGTGAGAACTCACATATCAGGGGGCAGCTTGTTCCAGAGTCTGGGTATGAGGTGTTTAACAGCTTAACTGCTAGCGTCCATGCTGGGAACAAATTCACCAATAAACGAGGGTCCAACACCTACTAAAACTCAACGGAGTCAAAATAATAAGTCCATAAACTCTGCTCTGAAAACAGCTCAACGCTATTCAAGGAATTAGAAAAAAGTAGTCGCTTAAAATACGGAAATTAGGGTATGTCAAAAGGTGGGTTGAAAGGAGAGTCGTTTCAACCCACCTGCCCATGTCGCTCAATGTGTAAAAAAGGACGATCCTGGGTTTTTGGTCCAAAAACGTGTGTTTTTGTGTTTTTGCTCTGTAGGAATGAGACTAATGTCACAAATTCTCTGTCTGATACTGAAAATAGCACTGTCCCCATTAACTCCTGTGGGATCGTTGTATTTTCCGCTCTCCTTGATATCTGGATGGGGAAAGGAGAAACATTAAAAGGGAACTTGTTATTTAAACTTGTTATTTAGCTTTTAACCTTGTTTCAACACCCTCATGGATTCGATGGTGTTATTGTGATTGAGTCTTCATGTTGGATTAATCTTGTTTCTCATTCAAGGCGTCAGTCTGATTTATAAAGCTTATGTGCAACCATTTGGTGCACAGGACTTTATGAAAGGAGAGTTAAAGCTTCTGCCATATATTCTGCCCTTACCAAAGCTCCCAGGCTGACTTAACATTGGTAACCCACCGGGTCAGGGTTACCAGGTCAAATTAAATTCAAACATAGATTTTTATTATTCACATTAAAAGTTGCATTTTGGGCATTTGAGCTGGTTTTATAAATGGTCTTAAAACGGATTAAAAAAAAGAAACCCTGCTCTAATGTTCAAAGCTGTTTATCTATTTTACACAGCACAGCACTCTAAATTTTATACTCTTTTTCAATGTTGAAACATGAAATAAAAGTCTGCTGCCAGCTACAATGAAATGCAACAATTATCAGTTCTGCAGTTTTGAAAAGAATGTCAATGAACCTGGCTGTTTCTATCATTAAATAACTTATAATGTATTTTTTCCCCAATCCAAATGTCATAAGAATCATATAATTATCATTAATAACTTCATTATACATTGTTTAAAATACGAGCCTGTACTCTGTGGACAAAGTAGTAAGAATGATGAACATTAGCCATTTAAAACCATATTTAGTCTTTAGACACATTTCTTTCGAACAGTTCAATCATTTCTAAGAAAAATAAATGTCTAATAAATAATCATACATCTCTGCAGCGGTTTCCCACAGACAAAGCCTACTTCATCGCCAAGGAGCTGCTGACGACGGAGAGGACGTACGTCAAAGACCTGGAGGTGATCACGGTGGTGAGTCCATGGCGTTCTCCTTCACTATTCCCTCTTTCACTTCAAGAAGCAGATGTTGATTATTCCACTTAGTTGCTCGATTTTAAACAAAAGCACGAAGAGAAATGGCACAGAGATATTTTTGCAGCCGGGAATTCATTTTTTATTCATTCACCACACACAGGCTTTTTGCAACAATTTATCTCAAGCAAGTCATGAATACTAAAATGTGCGGTGCCTAAAAGGGACCGCATCGATTTAGGCTGGGATATTTTTAGACACCGATAGAATTATGGATGCATAGAAATTCTACTATTGCTTTGTCATTGCAAACTCTGTGACGTGGCGCTACAGCTCTCGTCTCTCTCTTCTATGTTGTGTTGGAGACAGCTCCGTATGGGCTCCGTATGGGCCCCTGGGTTCCCACACACTGCTCTGTGTATCATCTCAGGGTGAAGTCATCCAATCAACAGCTGCAGCCTCCTGGTCCGCTTCACCCTGCCGTCCTCCAAAACATTTACTTTTCCAAAAGCTAAACTGAGCTGTCAGCTGTGTACAAAGTAAAATAATTCTAAGATATTCAGGTTTATTTGAACATACGTTTTCAAATTTCAAGCCATAACTTTTAGACCATATGATAGGGAAGGATTTAACCCGATGGCAAATTCATTGTCCTAATTCAACATCATGTTTTTGTAAAGGACAGATAGAAATGTTTTCCAACCAGAATGTACATGACGGGTGTCCAAACTTTTTAGTAAGAGGACCACTTTAGTTTAGATTTAGTTCAGTTTAAGAATTACTTTATTCATCACACAGTGGGGATATTTCCGTACCTAGATTGTAAAATCCCCCTCATCTTATCTTTACTTTATTGATTCACAGTGACATGAGCTGAAGTTGGCTGAGTGTTAAATGTTTACTTTCTCACAGCTACATTAGGGCTATCACGCCACTGTGTGCTAGGATCACAGATACATGTTGAAATAGTCAAACAAAGTCGAGGTAGAGCATGCATGTATAGGCAGAGCTGGCTGGATGACACTGTGAACTTTGGGTTAGCAAGGCAGAGGGCCGTAGAGTCATATGTGAGTTATACAAGCACATTGTCAGGTTTTTCTATGCATGCATTACATCTATTTTTACTTTTATAACTTGTTTGCACCATGAGCCAAAGCAAATTCCTTGTTGGCATTAAGAATTCTTGTATAAGTAATATATTATTTTGACAATGCATTCATTCATATGTACATTTATAAATATGGATGCTGCTTGTTTCAGTCTTTCCAGAGCGCCATCGGGAAAGACGAGGCCACCCCCGACTCGCTGAAGACCACCCTGTCCTCCACGTTCGAGCCGCTGCACAGATTCCACACAGGGTTTCTCCGAGAGGTGGAGCAGAGGCTGGCTCTCTGGTGAGATTGTCTCTATTCACTCCACTCTGTTTGTCAATTCAACTTTCTGGCCTCCTTTTCTAATGAGTTTTAGTGGCATTTAATCAAATAGAGTCTCTTCATAGATGACCTAAAGGGTTGTTGTCTCCATGGCAACAGTCTTACAGTAGCAGTCTGCTTCTTTTGCCTTTGGGGTTTTGACATCACAGCTTCACGGTTTGAGACGGTGATGCATACACTGTGTCAGGCTCAAGGAATTTGTGCCAATTCACTGCAGCCATGTGGTTATTTCATGTGATTGTTGTATTTCCACGTTGCGTCAGAGGAGTCAGCACATGAGACTGCTGTTTGAAAAAGCTTGGCCCACATGCAAATACAAGTTGTGTGTGTTGGGTTGTTTTTTGCATATTTAAATCAGTTTGAATTACAGATGTCCCTCGGCACGATTATAGAGCAGACATTCTTAATTAAACAGTTGAAAGTGAATTTTTCAAAGCTCCCAGCAGTAGCGGAAAAGTGGTTATAAAACTGCGTAAGGGAGACCCCTGCTGGTAGAAAATAATAACATGATATTTTCTTCAATATTGTGCTTTTTGTATATTTTGTTTAACTATTCATGTTTTGTATGTAATTATTAATGATGTTTTTTTATGTAATATCTTATTTGAATTTTGTCTTGTCTTACCGTAACCATGCAGCCCTAGCCTGGGCCTTAGCCATCCCTACGCTCCGGTCAATAATCATTTCCCTGCATGTAACAAAATGTAATTTGTACTATGGTGTGGTACGACCAAGCTAACGCAGCACAGAGAACCATTACGTATTTAATGCCATTTGTAATTTAATATTACTCTGACTATATATTATTTTTATAGTTATATGTTTAGAAAGTTACATTAAAACTGGGGTACCTAACTTTGTTTCAGAAATAATACGTATTGTTTGTCCCAACAAAGAGAGTTGTGTAAAATTAAATGTTGGTGAACAAATCCGACCACTTCATGTTTAGAAAACGTTTTATATTTCGCATGCTTGTGGGTGGGTCTCTCATTTTCACTTTCTATGTCCAAAAAAGATAAAAGGTGACAAAGCCCACAAATACAAGACTTTTAAACCACAATAATGAACTAATTTATAACGAGTAGTTCCGAGCTAACTAATTTGTTCTACCACTAGTTTTTCACGCGCCTCTGTCACATCTTTAGCTCAGCTCTTTTGGACAGAAAAATGAGAAAGAGAGAGCCCTTACTCAGCCAATCAGCTCTCAGTATGTAAAAGATACCATGTTTCTCGTTCTGATCTGTTTCTCAAATGTCACTTTACTCTTGACTCTTTTTGTGGGGGCAAACAGCATGTATCTATAAAACTATTAAAACGTTAGGTACTCCAGCTTTAACCAATAGAAGCAGTGTTAAATATAATAGTGCGCCTTATTTAAATATTTTTGGTGAATAACTGTTGTGTTGTTTTCAGGGAAGGACGGTCAAACGCCCACATCAAAGGAGATTACCAGCGCATTGGAGATGTAATGTTAAAGAACCTACAAGCCTTAAAGGTAAAGATCTCTGAAACACATTTATTTATTTATTAATGGACACTAAATAAAACACTGCAACATATATAGCTAAGGATAATTTGCAATACCCGTCCTTAGAAGTGATTAACTAACTAACATTTTACATTGTTACATACACATTATACAAAGGCAGATGTCCCCCAACTCATTGATGATCACACAACTTGTTAAAAAAAAAAAAAACATTTAATTTCGGATGAGTTCCAGAGCATACATACAATACAATTTAGCCTGTAACCATTCGTGATGGTTGTTTTTATATGTTTGTTTTAATGACCTGTTTTAAATTGTAATGTGTTAACTAATTGTAGTGATTTCATATTCTGTTGTTTTGTTTGCTATGTTTTCCGTTGGAATTTTACACCTTGCCCAGGGACTACAGTTGGAAACTAGGTGTATTGCGAATACTGACACATTTACTGTAATGTAGATTAAAGGTACCATATTACGCTTTTATATACTCTGCTTTAAACATCAGTACAATGCTCTTTGGCACATCGCAATATGGGACCTTTAATGTGTACTGTCTCTATTCAAATAAACTAATGAATACATAAATGTTAATGTAATGGATGCAGCCTCTGACGAGCAGCCTGCAGCATCAGTCCGACATCCTGGTGGAGCTGGAGAAAGCGTGCCGACTGTCGCGGAGGCTGGAGACGCTGTGTCGAGACTTTGAGCTGCAGAAAGTCTGTTACATCCCTCTCAACGTGTTCATCCTGAGGCCTTTGCACCGGCTCCTGCACTACAAGCAGATCCTGGAGCGCCTCTGCAAGCACTACACTGCCACTCATGTCGACTTCAGAGACTGCAGAGGTAAACTGCCAACCAGACATAAGCCCTGTTTCCACCAACCCCTACTAGGACCTACTTTAGTCACTTTGCCCGATACCCTCAGGCTGCTAACTTGTACAGATGTATACGTACAACTATATCATTTTTCACTTGAATATACAGTATTTTTCTTGCTTCTTTATTATGCTCAAGTCAGAGATTTTAGACTTTCTCCTTTATTACGCTAAAGTGAGTGTCATCATTGTGTGTGGAGTGCATAGAAATGACCTCAAATTGTAAAGCGCTTTGCCTTGTTCTGTGAAATTCATATATAACTAACAAATACTTACTTACTTGAACAATTATATTAGTTTCAGTTATATTTGTTAGTTTAGAAAATTGACATTGTTCACAACTGTGTGTCTTTAATTGCAGCACATATTATTTATGAAAATGCCAGAAAATGAGTTCCCGTTTCTACCACCAGATGGAGGTGTTTCATGACAAGGATTCTAATCTTTTCCTTTATACATAATTACACATATATTTCCTACTTACAAAATAATATCACATTCAAACACACAAAATGTCTCTGTAATTAGTCTCAACTGTTTCATAACCAAAAATAACGCATTATGTTTCTTCTTTCTTTTTAACGTCCGAAGCGGCTTTAGCTGACGTATCAGAAGTAGTGGACCAGCTCCAGACGAGCTTAATCAAGATGGAGAACTTCCAGAAAGTTTTAGAGCTAAAAAAAGATTTAATTGGCGTGGACAATCTCGTCGTTCCAGGGCGGGTGAGTGTGAAGACTATTTCTGCTTTACAAAGTTTGTTGTTGTAGAAATAATGATGGTTTTGTAACTTTTCCCAGGAGTTCATTCGGTTAGGATGCCTTAGCAAGTTGTCTGGAAAAGGTCTTCAGCAGCGAATGTTTTTCTTGGTAACTCAGGCTCTCCTTGGTTTATGTATTATCTGTAATTAGCTAACAGCGTGATGTCATCGGAACAAACGTTTGCACTTTTATTTTGGGATTTGACATGTCTTAGAAGTCCTGGCACACACAAATCATTAGCTAAGAAACTTTCCACTGGTTGAAAGTCTTATGCAACCAAATGTCACTATAAATACTTTGCTCTTCCTGCCACTTGGAACGTTCTGTATGTCTGGAAATACATAACTTTGCTTTGTGGCTGTAACACTTTCTCTCTTTTTGTGTTAGTTCAGTGACGTTATATTGTACACAAGTCGAGGCATGACATCGACCAATCAGTTTAAAGTCCATGGACAACTACCACTCCAAGGAATGACAGTAAGTATCCCCCAGTGTTGCATCACAAGTTATAGAACAGTAGGAATGAGGAGCACACAGCCCAAGATAAGTGAACAATAACTATATTAATTAAAATAAGACAATCTCTATCTTGAACATAATAATAATAAAGAAGTATACGTTTTTTTTTTACATATTGTCAACTATAATATCACTGAATGGGCAGCTTCACCCTCATTCACAGCTGCCATATTAGAGGGGCGACACACACTATTGAGAAGTGGGGGATGGAAGGTTGGTGTCATTAAGATTTGAAAATGGATTATAGATTAGTATCTATCTCTCTATCCATCTCTCTCTCTGTGTCTCTCTTCCTCTCTCTCCCTCTCCTTCCCTCTCTCTCTATGTCTATCTATCTATGTAGAAAACACATGTCTTCACACAACAACTAACAATGAGTGTTATCATTTATTTATTCATAGTCTCAGAAATGGGGCAAAAAAATATCTCCACATCTGCCTGCGTGCGTAAACATTCAAGCATAACTTTTATCTGGGTTTTTGGTGTCCCAGATATACGTCGCTAATCTCCAATGTTTTTTTCCACCTCCTGTCTCTTTGTGTCGCGTGTGTTGCCAGATCAGAGAGAGTGAAGAGGAGTGGGGGGTGCCTCATGCCTTCACACTGGTGGGACAGCAGCAGTCGGTGGTAGTAGCAGCAAGGTATGCAAGATATGGAACAAACACAAAAACAGAAATGAAATCAGTTCTACATGTGTCGGAAAAAAATAAGCTTATATTTTGCGGGCCCATAGTTCACTGTCAGAAATGGAAAAGTGGATAGAAGATTTAAAGACGGCAATAGAAATGGTTCAAACCAGCAACGGCCCCTCGACAGATCTGCTGATGAGCAACCTGAACGACAACAGTAAGTTTATGAATGTAACTGAACTGCTGCACTGCAAAAAGTGGTGGAAATTACGTCAAAAAAGCTCAGATTTTGCTAAATGTGTCTTACTGTAATTTGCGCACACTCTGACTGCCATTTAACAAGATTTGAGACAAGCAAAATTATCTTGTTTTAAGAATATACAAGATTTGTCTCCCTTAAATCATAAAAATTAGACTAAATGACCTTGTCCTATTGGCTTGTCTTGTTTTACCTGTAAGACAGTCAGAATGTTCTCAAATTTAGATAAAACCACTTGATTTTGGCCTTTATTATCTCATATCTTTTAATTTTTTGCTGTGTAGAAAGAAAAAAATTACGACAACTCCGATGATGCTTTAACGATTGTGTAATCAGTGTGTTTTAGCGCCTCTCTCCCCCCTTCACCCTCCCACTCATTTCTCACAGTAACAGCCTCCTAATTTAACAGAAAGTCCGGAAGAGTCCACAGCAGACGCAGACTCTGAGGACGAGACGCCGCACGTGCCTTCCGAGCGCTCCTCCCCTCACCGCGGTAACACCATGGTGCATGTGTGCTGGCACCGGAACACCAGTGTGTCTATGATGGACTATAGCATGGCCGTGGAGGTACCAGCAAACTACCAGCAAATCTCACCTCAGACCTCTGCCCCTCGTCTCACGTCACCCTGTTTTTAAGTGTTTTCCTCTGACTTAATTCACTTTGATAACCTCCTGTGGGAAAAGTATTCTGTTAATTAACGGCGTGGCCTTAAAAGACTCCAGCTGCTATACTGTACTTATGCTTAAAGAATAGGGTAATTAGAAAGGCTGGGTTTGAAACAAGTGCTCTGCCTCAGTTACAGCTATTATCTTGAACATAATCAGTGATGAATCTGGAACACTGCAAAAGATGATGAAAAATAAGTCATGAATGGCTCAAATTTGGCAAAAATGTATCATAAAGACAGTAAAAGAAATTCCAGTCTGATGAACACACATATACGCATCAAGGCACGCAGCGTACAATTACTACCGCGCTCCTTATGGGCAAAGTGGGGTAGCGTGTCTTGCCCGAGGACACGACGACAGCAGACATCAGCGGGAGTCGTCGGAGAAGGTTTTGCGGTGGGCTCGAACCCACAATCTTCCGGCCCAAAGGCTAATTGAACAACCTTTGTCTTGTTTTGACTGCCTTTAAACAAGTTTTGCCAATGGGACAAAGCAAAATGATCTTGTTTTGAAAAGATACAAGAAATATCTCTCTCAGAATAAGGAAATAAAGCAATTGTTCTTGAAATAAGACTAAATGGCTTCGTCCTATTGGCAAATCTTGTTTTAAGACAGTCAGAATGTGCTCAAATTAAGATAAAAACCACTTGATTAAAGCCATTACTACCTTACATTTCATCACTTTTTGTAGTGTATAGTTGGGCTACATCTTTTACACATGGATGTACTTTTCCCACTTCTCTTTGTTTTGGGTAACAGCTGTCAGTGTGTCCTTTTCTAACCAAATGTTGCTTTTTCCGTGTTGCTCTGTTCTTTTCTCTTGCACCTGTGTTAGTCTCTTAATTCTTGCAGAGCTGTAGATGATTTTACCCATGTGAGCTCCCTTCACTCTGGACCCTATCACTGTTGTCACTACTGTTCCTGCTGCTACTGTTGTCACTACTGTTGTCACTACTGTTCCTGCTGCTACTGTTGTCACTACTGTTCCTGCTGCTACTGTTGTCACTACTGTTCCTGCTGCTACTGTTGTCACTACTGTTCCTGCTGCTACTGTTGTCACTACTGTTCCTGCTGCTACTGTTGTCACTACTGTTCCTGCTGCTACTGTTGTCACTACTGTTACTGCTGCTACTGTTGTCACTACTGTTCCTGCTGCTACTGTTGTTACTATTGTTCCTGCTGCACATAAAGTGGAGGTGGTGCTGTAGCCCTGACTGCTGCTTATGTGATCCCTGCCTCTGCATGCATCCTGTGTTTCACCAATGTGTTTCTGTCTCTCCTGTCCCTCTCTGTCTTCTTCTGCTCACATGCTTCTGTGCGTTGCTCCGTGGTAGAGGACCCTAGTCCAATCAGGGAGAATAAGGCCCCCTCGGTGGGGCCCCCCAGTGGCCAGGGAGCGGTGCCTGTGTCTGTTATCTGCTGGTACCGAGTTCAGAACCTGTCCTTTAGTGAATGCTGCAGGAGCCTAGAGGTAAAAGAACCAGGCAGACAACAAGGCCCTTGGCTCTTCTTTTACTGCACCACAATGATTGTAAATACACAACAACTCCTACAAGTGCATAGAAATAGGTGACAACTGTATTTGTACAGCTACAAACTTTCATTTTAAGAAGACATGTCACACCAAATAAAGATGTTGAGCAGTTAAACATTTTAAATTGTTTTCCCCTATCTTTTAGATCCATTCATACTGATTCCCTTCTGTCTAAAAGCCCCTGTCCCTGTCCTGTAATAGTATGATGTCATTGTGTCCATGACATCATACTCAGTTATCTTACTTTTAAAAAGACAAAATTATTGCCCATGAATTAGTTGTGGCAGTTTCTTAATTGAAATGGCTTTTCACAATCACAAGCAAGTGTTTTCAGATGGTAATTCTCATATTGGTGAAAAAACAAATTTAACCCCCCCTGGTGGTAGTATAGGGAGTTACAGGCAGGCTGTATGTTGTTTAACCATTAACGCATTCACAATATATTCGACTTTGTTTCTCGATTATTTCATACTTTAAAACATGAAATAAAAAAAGTATGTAGTCTTATAATCATTTTAAAAAACAAGACATAATGTTTCTTGTTTATAATCTGCCACTGAGTAAAACCTAGATTATTTATAAACAGGACACAGTTTGAGGAATTTGTGATACAGTTAGAAAAAAGACCACTCTCAACGTACACAACCGAATCTTTTGGGTAAATTCTATTTCAAACTTTCACCCAAGCCCAGCTTGAGCAAAGCATGCCATGAATGCAGTACAGTACATCAGTGACAAATTTGATTAGGCAGACTGAGAGAATGTGAACCACCTGTATTATTAGATTATTTTTGCAACTCCTCCACATTGCGTACATACAGGACAATTACCCTTCATTAGGAGCAAAGGGTGTTTTTCTGAGAATTCTGGTCATATTACTAACTTGATTACGTTTGTTTAGAACCAGTTGTCTGGAAACCTCTTGAGGAAGTTTAAAAACAGCAACGGCTGGCAGAAGCTCTGGGTGGTCTTTACCAACTTCAGCCTGTTTTTCTACAAATCGCACCAGGTAAAATCTAACTGACATTGTAGAAATAACTGTGTATTTGTATTTGAACCTCAGCAGCAGAATGTGAAATGGTTGCTTGCGTGTCACATACTGCTCCTGGCTTGTCTCTCTTGGTATTTGACCGCAGTGACCTTCTCTTCCTCAGGACGACTACCCTCTGGCCAGTCTTCCACTGCTGGGATACTCTGTCACTGTCCCCAACGAAACAGAAAATATTCACAAGGATTATGTATTTAAGCTGCATTTCAAGTCCCACGTGTACTACTTCAGATCCGAGAGTGAATACACGTTTGAAAGGTATTCACACATCACTTTTTGACCCGCTCATAGGTTGTGCTTATGATCTAGAAGTCTGTCTCAGTTGGCGGGCAGGTACCAATGCAACTCTTTGGAAAAGTGTCAATTTCCTAAACAAAACAGATCTGTCAGACTGTACAATAAGTCACTTTAATGACCTGCACAAGGACCGAAAAACTCGCACTGCTATAGTCACTTTTAATTTTATTGTACACAATTCTGTATATGCATATGTTGGCACACTTCCTGTCTTTTTGCATTGCATAAACAAAAATACTAATATAGCAAGAACAGATGAAGTTTAAGACTAGTTCAGAATAGTTTTCACATAATAATAATGAAAATAAATAAATAAATACAGAACAAAATCCCATTCATACATCTGCACACACTCACATTCACACTCAGAGATCTTTTTTAGTTACACAGGGAAGTACAGAGTATTTGTTTATATTAATTAATCTCTTCATTTTGACTTGTTTTGACGATGACAATGGCGATGGCTCTGATTGTGAAATATTATTTCATTAGCTTTAAAATTAGATTATGCACCATACATCTCAACAAAGAAGAAGAAAGTGCACTTGTGGAATTAATATCATTTTTCCATTTCATTTTCAACCCCTTTGAACCATTTCTGGTTATTTAACATAACGTCTGAAATATGATTTTTCCTGGTTGTGTTTGGGTTTTAATCACAACTTGGGGCCAAATATAAAAAAAGATGTTAATTGAAGATTCATAGTTAATTATAAAAAAAAAAAATCTATGGCCTTTAAACCATCACTTGTTTGTTAACTTTTTTTTAGAACAGATTAAATTTTCATGGTTGTTTTCCTGACGAAAATACGCTTTAAAAATGAAGATATAGCATGCCATAGTAGTCCATTACCACAAGTGCCGCAAGGTACTGTACACACTGCTGATATTTCAGGGGCCCACTGAACAATGGTACTGGTGGGTCAAGATTTGGGCCCATTTCGGGCCCAGGCGGAGGAGGCTGGGCCAACTGCGCCATCACACCGGCCCTCGCAATCATCCCTACCTTTATTTTTTAAATTA